GGCGGCTGGGCTGCTGGGAGTTGTGGTGGGAACCTAGGGGCCGGATAACTCCTGACGCGTCCTCTGCTGATTGCTCTGCCTGCTTGTCTTCACTTCCAGAGGGCCTCCAGCCTTTGGGGCTCTGCAGGGCACATAGGAGTCCTGAGGGCTTTTTACGACACACAGAGACCCGCTAGGCGAGTTACAATTCATCCTTCACTTCCAACCTCCAAAATGTTGTTTCCTCTTCAGTTCTCTTTGTTTTTGCCTTTACTTTTTTAAAATCCCTTTCCTTGGGAGGAGGAGGAGGAGATGTTTCTCAGCCTACCCTTTCTAACCAGGGACTCGTGGACCTTGGTAAACGTTGCTCTGCGGGGTTCCTTTCCGGCACGAGCCCTCCTCGTTGTCACCAGCTCACGGACTCCGCAGTCAAAACGTGCTGTCAAGTGCCATTCTCCTTTCTTGTCCCATGCTGCGTGGCCCTGGGCTGTGCACCCCCAGCCCCATGTTAGCGCCCAGCCCCGGCTCCCTTCTCGCCCCTCACACCCCTACTTGTACTTCCGAGCCTCTGATCTGAGAAGGCTGCCCCAGTCCTCCCATGGCCCACTGCCGTGCCCTGTGGTGTGCCTGGCACTCTGTGTGTGCTGCCAGGAGCTGAGGACAGAGCCCCTGTCCCGGCTCACCACAGGCACCTGCTCAGCTTCTCAGAGCTGGCAGTCTGCTGTCACACCCTTTGCGGATCAGTGCCACCCTCAGGCCACCAGGTGGCAAGGCTGGGCTTATAGAGCCCTGGCCTGGCCCTGAGCATGTCACTTTGCATCTGTGCCTCATGGCTTTGGGACATGCCAGACCTGGAGGACCGACGACACTCGGAAGGGCACTCCTTATATAAAACGCTGCTTTTGTTTTATGGAATCAGTTTGACCATCAGGCCTGAGCTTAAGATTCAGCCCCTCCTTTCACACTGGGGGACTGAGGCCTGAGCAAGGGAGGGCCTGAGGACATCGGGGTGCAGCCTTGGCTGTGCCCAGCTCCTCCCCACATGGCACAGCTGCAGCCCAGGTGGACGGGCTGCTGGGGGAGCCCTGGCTTCACGTCAGAACCTTGGTTCTTACACTGCCCTCTGGGGCCCCTGCTCTGCCTGTAAAAAAAGAAAAGAAACACCAGGTAGATGAACGACCGCCGATGGGTTCAGGTCACAGGCCTCCAGCCTGAACGGTGTAGAGAGGAGACGCAGCAGGGCCAGGCTGCCTCGGATGCCATCGATTTGTTTTCCGTTTTCTTTGTAGGGCTGACAAGCCGACCCCACTGATCCATAAAGGCCAGCCGAGAGGACCTGGTAACTGCCCAACGTGGGACTGGGTTTGTTTCTGTTTGGTCGGTGGGGACAGCCCGGGGATGTTCCAAGCCCAGCGGTCCCCCGGTGAGGCCAGCTGCCCCTTCCCAGCCCTCCTGCCCTGAGGGTCTAGGATGCCCCTGCTCCTGAGCTGCAGCTTGGACCCTGGGGTTCCTGTGCCTCTCTGCGTCCCCTCCTGCTGGACCAGGGAGGCCCCAGCAGCACCTCTCTCACTCAGGGACACCTGCCCTGCTCTTGTAAAGGCCGCGTCCTTTGGCTTTTAGGGGACTTTTCCCTCAACAGGCCAGAACCTCTGGGAAACCTGCTTTCGAGCATGGCACTGTGGCGTCCGCTTCGTGGTGTATCTCATGGTTACGGCATGTAAAGTTGCTCTGTTTTTGTCCTAAAGCAGTGGATCTCTCCGGAACAGAAGCTCTGGGTCCTCTGTCCAATGCCATGGCCCTGCAGCCCCCTGCCCCCATGCCCAGGAAGTCACAGGCGGTGAGTGGGCCAGCCCCCTCTCCTGCCTCTCTGCTTCACCCAGGACGGCAGGTTTTCTGAGGGCCCCTGGGAAGTGAGTCTGTCCTCTTCCCCTGGTCAGGGCAGGGTGGCAGGAGGGCCATCTGATTCCTGGTTCCTCAGTACAGCACGTCAGGACAGAGCCATGGGCATCAGGCCCAGCTGCTGGCTTCCTACCCTGCTTACGCACTGTGCCAGCTGGGACCACTTCCCTCCCGCTGCCTGGCCCCGAACCGCACTGACTTGCGCTCCCTGACACCCGTGGTTCCCGGTGTAGCTGAAGGTCTGCTGGCCCGGCCTGAGGCAGCGAGGCCCAGTGCTCTGCCCCGAGAGCTTGGGCCTCCTGCCACACTAACCTGACCCCTTGCCTCCTGACACAGACCAAGTTGAAGCCCAAGCGGGTCAAAGCACTCTATAACTGCGTGGCCGACAACCCGGACGAGCTGACCTTCTCTGAGGGGGATGTGATCATCGTGGATGGGGAGGAGGACCAGGAGTGGTGGGTGAGTCAGGGCCAGGGCTTCCTGGGGCTCAGTGACAGGTCTGCCTGCCTGGGAGGGGCCCATGCAGAGGTGGGGCCTCGTTCTGCTCGGGCCGCCCAGTCCTGCACCTGCTCAGTGCTGCTGCCCAGCCCCCCGGCCTGGAGCAGGTTCCTTCCTCCTGAGGGGGCTTGGCCACATCGGCTGCAGTTTCAGACCGCGGGGCTGTGAGCTGCAGGGTCAGCACTGCAGCTGCCATTAGGGCTGTGCAGTGAGGCTCCAGGTAGGCTGGACCCTCGGGGCAGAGTCCTGGAGCAGCTGTGGTGGCCAGGACCTGGCTAGGGGCTGTGGAGAGTGAGCACCGGGCTTCCTCTGGTACCCTGGAACTCAGCCTCCGCCTGCAGGCGGGGGACCCCAGGCACATGGTTCTGACTCGAAGCTGGAGTAACATGGTCTGTGAAGGGAGGCCACCTGCGCTCCCAGGAACCGCCCCAGGAGACTGCTGTTAGTAAGCGAGGGAGTTGGGGAAAGGGCTTGAATGAGCATGGCCCTCGGGTGCCCGGCAGTGGGCACTGCCCAGTGGACACCCAGGCCAGCTCCGGAAATGGAGCTTAGACACTGACGAGCTCACTCGAGGCCTCGGATGGGACCGCACGAATGGCACCCTTTGTCGGACGTGAGCCCTTAGTCGCTGTCCCGGCAGCTCCCCCCATGCTTGGGTGCTTGCTGCTCCCACTAATTTGTGGCCACCCAGCCTCCAGGCAGCCCGGACAGCAGAAGGGGCCGTAGCCCCGACCAGCAGGTTCCGTGAGCTCTATCCTCCTCCGATGACTGAGCTGCCTCGTGGCTGCCAGGTGCAGTGCGGAGGGAGGGCCCAAGGTGCTCTGTCAACTGCCTGGCCACTCACACTGCCACCTGGGCAGGCGAGCAGAGGGTGCTGGTCTGGTAGGGCCCTCCGCGTGCCGCGGGCCAGCACAGATGGCTCAGCTGCAGGGAAAGCACCTGCTGACCCCCCACTGTGGGAGACGCAGAAAGGACAGAGAAAGAACGTCACCAGTCACACGGCCCTCCTCCTCCCTGGATGCCACTGGCATCTTGGCAACTTTCTTTGAGACTTTTTTTTTGCTTATACAATTTACATAGTGGAAATCCTACCTGGGTATAATTTATATAATGTGCCCAGTGCAAACTAAGTGGGTTTATTAAGCCCTTGAGTGCGTTTCAGTGGAGCCGTGCCATGCCTTTGCCACTTTCTGGGTCTTTCTGACTCAGACTTTTTCTTTTAGGGCTTTTGCATTGGGTTGTATATATTCACCAGAGACAAATGAGAGAGAAAGCAAGAAACCATCCCCCAGGGGGGATGCCCACACTGCAGTCCCTTCTCCTCCTGGAATTCTGGGCACGCACGCATACACACCAGGCATGATTTTCAAGCCGCCGGGTCTAGGATGCAGATGGGGGTTAGCCATGCGGGAGTCCAGCACCTTAACCACTATGCCATTTGCTGGCCCTCCAGCTCACAAACTTCTGACACTCAATTTCATTTCCAAAAAAAGGCATGTGGGGAGCAGTGCTCAGCAGGGCCTCTTCCTGGGGCCTCCCATAGCTGCCGGCTGAGGGCTGCGAGTGTCTGTCCCCATGTGTGGACGGCATGCGCCCTCTGAAAGGTGTGAGCGGACGGTAGGGAGGTCTCCACGTTTAGGCAGGCCGTTCTTTGCTAGAAGAGATCCTGCCAAGCTCGGCTTTTTTCCTACCAAACGCCCACCGTGCCCTTCAGGGTCTCCTCCATGTGGAACTGGTCTAACAGCCTGCACGTTTGCCCATTTCAGATTGGCCACATCGATGGAGATCCTGGTCGCAAAGGAGCGTTCCCTGTGTCGTTCGTGCACTTTATTGCGGACTAGACTGCGGCCGAGCAAAGCGTCTCTCGCCCGTTACGTTGCCGTTTCGTCGTTGGTACCAGACCTCCATCCAGATGACCAGTCTTCTGACCTGTGTGGTAGTCCGTTTCCTCTAATGCTGCTGGTCCGTCTTAAAAACTCAAAGGCAGTTTTTACCGTAAATGAATTGTTTTTATAATTTGTGATTTTCATGGAACATTGCTATACTTTTATTGGGGGAAAACTGAATTTCCTAAAAGGTGAACTGACAAGTTCTATTTTAACTACATTCTCAAGATCCTGCATTTATAGAACTGGCCAGACCTAAAGATGCTGAGGATTCCCGCTTGCCTTGGCCCAGTTCTGGAGTTGGTGACCTCGTAGTGCAGGTGTGATTTTAGGAGCCAGTAAACTGCTTCAGAAGCCCCTGGCCCAGCCCTGGTCTTTCTCACTCAATGCCATCAGTTCACCTTTCAAGACACCCCCAAGGTGCATCTCGAGCAACAGGGAAATTCACACGTTAGCACTGAACTCTGGCCCTCAGCCGTGAGGTCGCGGCTATCCCGGTATTCTGCATGCGCATATAACCTGTCGTTGTGAACCATCACGTTAACAACCGCTGTACTGCCCACGTCGTAACAGCAGTTATTCAGTGCCAGGTTACATAACGCTGTATTTCCTGAATTTGGTTGAAAACTAAGGATGGTGGATTGCAAAACAAGTTCTTCAAACCAGTTCATATACATTAGGTGTTTTGAGATTTGCCTTGCCCTTCGGTAATCGGAAAGCAACCGCACCTACTAGAATGTACACACTAGAATACACACACGCACACGGTGCCAGCCACGGCACACCGACACTGCTCGCTGGTTCTGTCGCGTGGACACTGCCTTCCCTCCCTAGCTCACGAGAATGTTTGCTCACTTAGTGTCTCCTATTCACCCGGTTCCCAGCAGGAGTGGTAGTTACACCGTCTCAAAATCTAATCTTCCATTTGTTTGTAATCTAGGAGCTGTCAGAAATCTATAGGTCCCAGGTAACTCACACCCCTGACATCCCGGTTTCGCTACTGAAGGTCCTCATATCACTCTTAAACTTCCGTGGGGAGGGGTGGGGCTTAGGTTGTATATGGTAACATCAAAACTCATTGGTTTAACCAACTTGACTGCCAGACCTCTGTTTAGTAACTGTGAGTGTAATACTCATGATAGGAATAATGGAAGTCTGGGCACCCTGAGAGCGACAGGCCTATGGTACCTACTTGGATTTCTACCAGAAGTAAAGGACAACGTGAGTGTTGGCTTGGGAAGCCAGGGGACAGGATCTCCGCTTGACGGGAGCAGCCTGTCTGTTATGTGAGACTCAGAAGTGTAGAGCTCTTTGAATTTTTCCTTTGGCATTGTACTTTTAATTGCTTTTATAAAAGAAGACAGAACAAACTGGAATGTTTTACAACGTTGTATAGCCCTCGCTTTTCACCTTTCACTGTTCTGGGTAAAAAGCGTGCTAGATCTGTAATTAAAAAGTCTTTTTTTTTTAAACACTACATTTATTTTCACTAATTGTTCATTTCTGTTGTTTAAACCCTTTATTTAGTTCATTTTCTCATAGATTTAAGGAAGCAAACAGATGTACTTCGCACAGTGCCCTTCTTCTGTCTGTTCAACCACCCTCCACATCTGTATCTCAGCCTTTGACCACCTGGTGTCAGTGAGAAAAGGAATGAAGCTGATTTAAACTCTAGTCCCAGACTGATCTATCAGGGTCACTGCTACGTAACTATCTAGGAAATATTTTTCCAGTCTCCAATTTGGTGGTGCTACTGTGCAGTAATTAATAGGACCCTCGCCAGAGGGGCACTGTATTAACTCCCCTGCTAATACCCTTTCCTG